GGGCGTGTGTGCTCGCCAGACAGACAGAGAGAGACAGAAAGCGAGAAATCACCCCCCAGGGGGAATGGCCACACCACAATCCCTTCTCCTCCATTCTCCTCTCGGGATCTTGGGCATGCATGCACACGCGCCCGGCGTGAGTTTTAAGTCACCGGGTCCAGGACTCGAACCGCGGTCGACTATGTGGGAGTCCAGCGACATAGCCATCACGCTAACTGCTGGTCCCTAAAATGGCTTCTTGACGGAGTGTTTTGGGGGTCTAACAACAAACACAGGCTTCTGAGAAATGATTATTGCTAGATTGATCCAAAAGTAAGCTGTAGATATACCATTAACTTCTTCCAAAGTATATACCTTACCTATCTAGGAAGACTTCAAATTCAAAGACAAGTGTGTTTATTTCTGTAGTAATAGCTACTAAATACAATGACACAAAATTTAAAATGATAAAAAATGTGCATCATAAATAAAGCAGTTTTTTTTTTTTTAATAATGAAATTTACTGAAACTAATAAAAGCCAGGACACATTTTCCCTGAAAAATTATTCCTGCATGTATGTGCACACACACACACACACACACACACGCACTCACATAGACACATTCTGCAATTTTAGATATAGCTTCAGAGTTGTGATGGACATCTTTTAGCTAGCCATACAGCCTGGTTGAAGAACTCCTGAATTAAAATTTATACTTGTTTCTCATTTATGTACTAGTTTATTTATTATTATTATTGTTGTTGTTATTTTTAGTTTGCTATAGTGAACATGTGCTCATCAGAGAGAGACAGAGAGAGAGGAAAAGTGAGAAAGCAAGCCACCGGGTATGAGACTCAAACCAAGATCATCCAGCACCTTACCCACCCCGCCACCTGCCGGCCCCATATACTTTGTTCTTACACGCTCCTTTTTAGAGCAAAGTTCAATCATCTAGCCACACATTCCCATTCTCATCCTTGCTGTCGTCTTGATGAGGAGCAGTTTGATCCTGGTTAAATATGGTCATCTTTTCTCTTTGTATAGCCCTGGCTGCACCATTTACTGATCCAAATGACCTACCAGATAGACTTAACACTTTAGAAATGTAATTTGTTCCACATGTTTGGCCACTGATCCACTTTAAGTCCTGATGCGATTGGTACAGATGTTCCCCGCAGCCCCTCTGCACTGTTGGTTGTGATTGGAGGCTGCTAAAGGCATAGATGTGCAATCTTCAGGGAGCAGATGTGTTCTCTGCTCACTGGAGCTTTTAAAAAACAAAACTCTACTTATCCTTTTTGACGAGGCCATGCAGCCAACACAGGCTGAACATAAAGGAGCTGTACCTCATGCCTAAGCAAGGACTGGGCTGAGAAGAAACTGTGAAGCAGGGCTGACAGTTTACATGCTCCAGTTTCTAACTGTTTTGCTGTACTGGTCTGCACTCAATTTCTCTGCCATGAGCTTTACTGTTATTATGGAACCCCACAAGGGTAAAATAACACCCCCAGCCTTACTGCAACTTTACAATAAAGTCAATTAGTGATCCTAAAGGAATGTAGTTTCCTAAGGTGACAGCAGTGAGGATCAGGGAATTTGAGACTCCCCCACCTGCCTGTGTTAAGCCAAATTATCGAATTATCATACGTTGGGTTAATTTAGTATAAGCCAAATTAGCTTAAGTAGCATATGTAGACTAAGTTAGTTTAAGGCTAATTTTACGTAAATACCCCTTGTTAAAGCTGCAGGGCAAGTTAGCTTATGTTATGACAGGGATTCAAAGATAGAGCACAAGAATTCACTGATTAACAGACTCACAGGAATTCAGCAAATAAAATACAGGGACCCATGGGTTAATAGAAGAAGGACAGATCTGGCTAAGAGCGACAGAATAACCAAACCTGAGTGCTCCAGGGGGAAAATTAACTATCTTAGCTGGGAGTTCTTATCTAGTTTGGGCAAGCAACAGATAGTCTCTAACTACAAAGAGTTTCTCATCTGTGTGCTGTTAACTTTGAAAAACTGCTAATAAAACATCCTGTGTTGTCTCCTGAGCTACAAAACCCTCTCATCCAAAAAGGCCCTGTCTGGTAATCAAGATTTAAGAAGAAAATGCACCGGACAGATGGACTCCTTTGTCCTGAGGACGGTGTTTGGCTTCACCTGATCAAACAGAATAGTGCATCATGTTTTATGATTTTTGTTTCCATACTTTGTATACCCTATTTCTTAGAGTAAATCTTTTACTTCCCCTCACCACTCCTACTTCTGTAAAACATCCCTCAATAAATACGTATGTCTGATAGCCACTGGGGCTGCAGTCTTGAGCTTGCTCTGACTGTAGTCGACTGAGAACATGCTAAAGAGCATTGATGCTAAAGAGCATTGAGGTCTCAGTCTGATTGTTTCTCACCTGTGTCACCTTCCTGTGTGCGAGCCTCAACCCAGCCCGGCTGGAGCAGGGTCTCTGGCACCTTTTAACATTTTTTTTTTTTTTTGTATGCCTCTTTGATACCTGGCGGAATGCTCTAGTGACTCCTCATTCCACTCAGTTAAAGCCAAAACCTTCTGTGCTGCAGGTCTCACCAGATGTGATCATCCCTCTGCCCTCCTGTCACCTGTTCCCTCCTTCACTCATTCTGTTGTGTTTTATTGACCTCCTCTCTGTTCTTCAGATGCATCACACACATTTTAATCAAAAAGTTTTCTGCATTATATCTTCTTACTTGACTTCTTCATGGCTCATTCCTAACTTTCTGTCTTTGCTCAAACATCATGTTCTAAGAAAAGCCTAGTCTTAGCAAATGAAATTTCCTGTCACTGCTTGCTTATCCTCTTTACATTTTTTTCATTCTCTCTGTATCATTTGTCATCTCTAACACATTATGTACTTTATTATTGCACGTGGTCTGATTTCTACCACTAAGCTGCAGGCTCCATTAGAGCAGAGATTATGCCTTCTTTGCATTCTATGATATTCTCAGCATCTTCATGGGGTCACTTGTGCGAGGTGCTAGTTTTTCCCATTTGTTTAGTAGGAGCAGGGGATTTCAGGGTCAGCAGGTGGCATAGAGGTTACATTGCTAGACTCCCACATGACTGATGGTGTTTCAAGTTCTGGATCCAGTGAACCGAAACTCATGATGGGCTTGTGTGTGAGCATGCCCAAGATCCCAGAATGAGAATGGAGAAGGGATTACAGTGTAGACATTTCCCCCTGTGTGTTGGAGGGTGATTTCTGACTTTTCCTCTAACTGTCTGTCTCTCTTTCTCTCTGGTGAGCACATGTATCCTAAGGGGGAGGGAGGTAAGAGAGAGAGAGAAAAGAAGGAGAAGGAGGAGGAGGAGAAAGGAGCAGGGTATTTCTACTGTCTGGCAGGAAGAGCACTGGAGAGGCTACTTTCGGAGCTCAGATTGACTACTGGTGGGAAACTAACTTTTCATTTTTACTTTCCTAAAACTTGACGTGGGGAGTAAAGGACTAGAAGTGCTTCAGGCACCTAATGGACACTCAGTATAATTTACTGACGACTCTGGTAGAGAAGATGAAACTGCACACAGGGAGGGACCTAATACAATTGGATAGAATTGTGTCAGTGGTATGAACGAGCTGCTTGGAAGACACAGTGAAGGGACTAATAATTCTGCCAGGCAGGCAGGACCTTCAGGCACAGGTAGAGCATGTCTTGGAATGCCTGCAGAAACAAGATTGTGAGTGTTCAGCTCAAAGCACTCTTTGTAGAAGTGAGGTGGCAGCTGAGTCATAGCCTCTCCAAGGGTACTGGTGACAGAGGCACAGCAGGGGGAATGTCTTCTAACTTTTCACACACAACTTTCCCTAGACTGCCCAGTTGTAGTTCCTTCCCTTTAAGGCAACCATTGATGTTAATTTTAATGTGAGTTCACCCATAGGCAAGTTTTAGGCTTTAACCAATCCAGAGACAGAACTGAAGTTCACTAAAAAGTGCTTTGCAGAAGTGAGATCAAGCTAGAAGTAGTGGGGCTCCCATCACGTGAAAACTCTGGACTCCTCCTGGTATAGCCAGTCCTTGCTTGAATCTAAAATAAAATGAACTCAGGATAAACTCTATATTTAAACTAACTGTTTCTACTTAAAAGGAAATATAGTTCCCAGAGTAATATTAAGATTACTGAGTGCAATGTATACTTTCTTGTTCTTATAAGTGCAAGAAAACTTCACAAATGCAAAATTAAAATTCTGGAAGTAAATAGACTTACCCCTAGTATCTTTGCATCTTCTTTTAATTTTTCTCTTGCTGTATCTATTGTGGAATTTATCATTTGTGCATTTCCTTGACCCAGCTGACCCACAGAGATTCCCGGAGCTGGGATGAAATGAGGCTGAACACCCAGAGGTTGGTTTCCTAGGGTTATGAAACTCGGAGGTTGTTGAGACTGAGGAGCCATAAAAATAGTTTGTGGGTAAGGATTGGGTATATTTCCATGCACTCCGGGGTAGGCTGTTGGCTTGGATGACATCATTATATCCTGCATATTGAAAAACATACCAAAATGATATATTAGTGCAGAAAAGAAGCTAAAGGAAACCTTGTGGGATGTCAGTTATCTATGCAAATGTTAGAGAACACTTGAGCAGATCTAGGGCAATGACAACTAATTTAAACATAATACTCATTTGTCTTTGGAATGCTGTGTGCACTAAGGTTTAAAGGAAAAAAAGAGTAGAAGGTGAAATATGTTAATTCTCTTCCTATTTGGTTTTATAAAGTGCGATGAGCGGTGTGTATGCATGTGTCTTTTCTGAGTTCATTGCATCTGCAGGATAACAGAAAGGGAAAAGGGTCAGTAAAATGCAAAATAATGCTCACTTCACCCTACCCTCTTCAAGGTGACCATATCCTAATCCAGGAACCTGTGAATATGTTGCGTAAGGAAAATTAAGGTTTTGGGTAGAATTAAGGTAGTTAATTAGCTGACCTTTACATAGGGAGATTATATGTGATTATTGGGTGGACCCAATGTAATCATCAAGGATCCCTAAAAGTGAAAGAGATGAGGCCTGCAGGTGGTTAGAGCACTGGACTCCCATATGGCTGACCATGGTTGGAGTCCTGAACCCTTTGCTTGAAAACCACCCCTGTGCACATGTCCAAAATCCCAAGAGAATGGAGGAAAAGGAATTGTGGCATGGCTATCTGCTCTTGGGAATGATTCTTACTTTGTCTGTCTCTCTCTTTCTGGTGAGCACATGCTTCCTACAGCAAAAACCTAAAAAAAGGGAAAAGGGGAAGAGGGGGCCAACCATGCCCTGGTAGTTGAGGTAGCTAAAGTTCCCACATGGCCAAATCCATGATTCGAGTCCCTGACCTGGTGACTTGAAGAACACATCAGGTGCATGTGTGTGCATACCCAAGATCCCAAAAGGAAGGAGAGGAAGGAGAGATGGAGCAGTTTGGGGTGTGATGATTCCCCAGGGGAGGTACTTTCTCACTCACCCTGCCCTTTTAGGCGTGCCCTCTCTCTCTCCCTCTCTCTCTTATTCTCTTTCTGGTGAACACACATGCTCTCTGACAAATTAAAAAAAAAATGGAAGAGAAAGGCAGAAGAAGAGAGTCATAGAAAGAGAAGTAATCATGGAATTGGGGTCAAATGGATGCTACACTCCTAGATATGAAGATGGAGGAATAAAACCATGAACCAAGAAATATGTGTGGCCTCTAGAAGCTGGATGAAGTAAGAAAACAGATGCTCCCTTAGACACTCTGAGTGGGGAAATGGCCAACCAGGTCTCTGGAAATTAAGCAGCACAGTTCAGCAACTGAAGGCCAGCTCATGAGGGGAGGATGCTCAGCAGCTGAAGCCTAGCTGAAGAGGGGAGGTCATCACACTCCAAGGACAAGAAAATAGCTGAGTTTTGAATTCCTAATGATCTGTACCTGTTGCAGCCTTCCCCCCCTGCTCCATCCATCCTGCATGCCTGTGTGCTTATTGTGCTGACCTCCCCTGTTTGAAACCAATATAACCTCTTACCCCACCCCAAATTGGGGCCCAGAGTTTGTAGTTCTGAACTTCTCTGAGTCCACTGGTGTAATAAACCTGAGTCCTCATACTCTCTGAGTGGTGCTTGGTTTTTTGGCAGTTTCTTTCTGTAACACCTCCAGAAGAAAACTTAATCCTCTCAATTCTTTGATCTCAGCCAAGGGAATCTGGTGTTGGACTTCTGATCTTTAGAACTGTGTTGTTTTTATATCACTAAGTTTGTTGTAATTTGTTACAGCAACAAATAGAACACTAAAACGGGCCAATAATATCATTGGATGGCAAGGAAGGCAGTCTATATTTACAATTGTTATTAGTTTAAATTTTTTAATTTTAAATTTATTTATATTGATTCACTGTACATCATTGCATATACAAAATGAGATTTTCCATCCAGAATGCACTGTATATTGGCTCAATCAAGGATATTACCATATGTGTTATCATCAACAAATAATTTTCCATTTCTTGTTTCCGTATATTTTGCTTTTTTTTTCCCCCCCTTGATCCCCTATCTCTCACCCTCTGCTGTTTTCCACCCTCCTCCCACACTGTCTCTGGTATCCATGGTTGCTTTCCATGCCTCATCCCCCCATTTTATTGATTTACTAAAGATCTTAATTAATCAAAATACTTTCAATAATAAGCACAGCTGATATATACATATCTACGAACACATGTCTGACTATAGGCATAAACCTCAGTGAGTAAAATGAACACTTTATAAAGAAGCAGTCATTAAGTAGGTATTTTTAAACTGTATTTTAAATTTCAAGACAAACACTTTTAGTTTTAATAGATCTAAACTTATTTGTTAGTAATTGGAAAAGTAAATCATTTACATATGGTCACTTAAGTTGATTATCCTTTTCTTCAAGAAAAATATTCTTGAGATTCCTTATTCATTTTTGTCCTTCTGGAAGCTTAGTACATTTCAGGCCTCACATGGTCAAGGGAAATTTTGTTGAAAGCAAACCAGCTAAACGAGGTGTGGACAATAGTCACTATTAATTAAAAAAAAATTTTTTAAGTGCCATTTAAAAATTCTTCATTAGTGTTCTTAGATTCCTTTTTTGAGACCTTCTCCCCCGGTCATTTTCTTGCACTTTATGAAGATTCCCAAAGTAGAAGGAATGAAGGCTTCATCTTTGGTACAAAGTGTGAATAGGAATAAATTGGTACATTGCACTAGGAGAACACCTTCCTAATTATCCGGGTTACTACCTCTTGGTTTATAGATGAGAAATTGAAGTCGAGACCAGTCACATGACTTGATTAAGGCTATATAGCAAATGCGTGTCAGAGAAAAGAGAACTCTTGACCTTTAGTTCAGAGTTCCCCTCTCCAACCATATAGATGCTTATAGGCCATGTTTTCCAGGCCTGCCTTGATAACAGGGTATTGAGTCAGCTCCTGTAACCTCCCAACAGTAAAAGGGTGTTCTCTGATGCCATGGAGAGGGCTTTATAAATCAGATTGACGTCTTAGAGATTCAGTAAGTTAGTAAGGCCTTTGTTCGGCAGGCCCTAGGTGAGCTGTCTGGAGAGTTAACATTCAGGAAACACCATAGGTCATGTAAGGGCTGCATAACATGTTTAGGAGCATGAACTCAGGGTTAGGATCTTGGCTATGACACAACGACAGCTCTTTGGCAAGTTTGTTCACCTCTCATTGCCTTTGTCTTTTGTCTGTAAAATTAAATTAATGAGAGCACCTTCCTTACGGGATCACTTAGGGTTATCAATGAGTCATTGCAGGTAAAGTTCTTAAAAATGTGCCTGTTACAACTACATTGATTGGCTTTATTATTATTGTTTTGTTAAGTACGTTAGATACATTCTTTCTCTCTTTACAGAGTCCAGACTCCTTGTGTGACTTTGTTGCTGATGGAGACTAGTCAACCTTTTTTTAAAAATTAATTAATTAATTAATTTTCAATTCATTTTCTTCCATACATTCAATCGCATTATTATTTGTCTTACAAAGTGGATATTTCAACAGGTGAGCCTTACTCCCTAGTACAGTTGATAAAACTACAAAATATCTTCAACAGATAATACCACACCTCTTTGTGCCGTTAATGCTTTGCCTCCCTGTCCCTTCCCCAAATGTTCTTCCTCAAACTCTCCCCTTTCACACACTGTATCTGGTATTTACATATATATATACTGTGTTTCTATATCCTTTAGTCAAATAGTTTCAGTCACAGAGTGTGGACACTTTGTATATATTAAGTGGAGACATACAATGCCTCTCCTTCATAGCCTGGCTTGCTTCACTCAGCAGTAAATCTTCCATATTCATCCACTTCCTGTCAGCCTTTTTGATACTGTGTAATAGCCTTTGGCTTATCAAACTAAAAAAAAAAGAAAACTATGCTGGTTCAAAGACATTTCTGTTTCTATATTTGGTTTTAGAGGGTTTTTTGTTTGTTAGTTTTTTGTTTGTTTGTTTTTTTCCCTATAGGGTATGTGCATTTGCCAGAGAGACAGAGAGAGAGAAAGTAAGAAATCATTACTCAGAAGGAATGGCCACTCTGCAATCCCTTCCACTCCATTCTCTTCTTGGGATTTTTTTGGGCATGCATACACATGCACCAAGTGTGATTTTTAAGCCACCATGTCTGAGACTCAAACCATGGTCAGCCATGTGAGAGACCAGTGCCTTAACCACTATGCCACCTGCTGGACCTGTGGTTCATAGACATTTTAAAAGATTAATTTATTGTTTATTCTTATCACTTGTCATATGAACAGACTACTAAGTTTTGTTATAGGCTCATAGGAGCCTTGCAGCTGACAAGATGAAAAATGTTTCAATAAAGTTTACTGTTAGGATGTTGTTTTATTTTTGTGTAAATCTAATGCATTAAATATATGGGATACTAAGATTTGAGTATTATAATTATCATGTTTCTACTGTTTCTTGATCACATTCATTTAAAACATCTCATTACTGTATTATTCTTAAGAAAGTTGGTTTTGGAAAATCAGCAGTTAGCGTAATGGCTATGTCACTGGACTCCCACATAGTCGACCGCGGTTTGTGTCCCAGACCCGGTGGCTTAAAACTCACGCCAGGCGCGTGTGCGTGCGTGCCCAAGATCCCGAGAGGAGAATGGAGGAGAAAGGATTGCGGCGTGACCATCCCCCCTGGGGGGTGATTTCTCGCTTTCTGTCTCTATGTCTCTCTCTGCCTGTCTGGCGAGCGCATGCGCCCTATAGTGAAAACCTCTCCAAAAAAAAAAAAAAAGAAAGTTGGTTTTGCAATTAAATGTATTTTACTTAATGAGGTCAGAATTCTGACTAATTTTTCCTATTTCAAAGTTGTTTCCAGGAGGTCGGGGAGAGTCTTGCCTGCAAACATCGACAGAGCCTACAAACATTAACAGACCACTTTGGTACATTGATGGTGGGATGGAGCATCCTGTCCTACGCATAGTATCTTTATGATGAATAGTCGGCCTTCTTATCTCTTAGATT